CATTTTACCGTAATTAGGGAACGTAGCAACAACAGCAAAAAAAGTAAACTTTTTAATTAAAATGTCTTGGAGCAAAGAGTTATGAAGCTAATTATGCGAGAGGCATCATGATGTAAAAAAGGTTTTTCACATAATTTTATATGGATAAGGAAAGGAAAAAAATATTTTTTTTGGTTGGCTCTTTAATTTGTTTAGGAAGGATTCTTTTTTGTAAAGTGATGTTTGTTGATTTTATGGCGTTATGCTTTGGAAATTAAATTGCTTAACTTTTTTCTTTCATTTTAAAATAAAGGAGAACTTAGCTGGAAAAAAATATGTTAATGTTAAGTTATGCAGATTGCGGATATTTAGGAGTAAATTTTATTTTACAGAAATTGAATTTATTATTAGCCAAGACACAATCAGTCATATTATTTTGAAATGAGACACATTTTTGATTGCATACTTACTAATTTTGCTGGCATCGATTCGTTTCGCAGTGCCTCCAGCTTATCGCAACGTGTACTAACACATCGCTTGGTTGGAACCCTCTCACATTAATTTCACTGACCGTACAGATTAATTGTAATCCCTTGGGTTCCTTTAGATTACGCTTGAAGCTGGCTCTATCGCTGGCTCTCGCTTGCCAATTACCAACACCAAGTTTAATTCTGTCGGTCATTTTTGAATAATTATAATTAATGACAGCCATGGGGGGATTTGGGGGACAAATCCCCCAACATAAACAGAAATTTCTTTATTTTACTAGGGTTTTTATGAAAAAATCACAAAAAGCCCCCCCCCCCCCTTAAATTTCCATACAAAAAAATTCCCCCCCTTGGCTACGCTCTTGCATTATTGGCTTCATCGAGTGCATAACAATCTTATCAAAGATGGCTTCAGATGGTACAAAAAATCGTCGCTCGCAGTGCCGTTTTTGCTCTAAACAAAACCCTACATTGCATTCTATTCTATTTAAGGAAGAGAACATGAGACAAAAAAACAATAATTTAATTTTAGTCTCGCCCAGAATCTCCCCAATTTAATTAAAATGCGGTCATCTGACAAGAAAAAAATAACAAAAAAACACAAATAAATTTTCATATGCATGGAAAAAGTAAAACCGCAGACTTACTGAAAGGAGCATAAAAGAATAAATCCGATTTTACTAAATCAAGTTATTTTTTGGGAGATGAAGCTTGTATTGGGAAAGCAGGTGTTGTCACTGTAGAATTAGTGAGTTTTGAGAGATATGCAGTTTCATTATAATGCTAGGAATTATGTTAAAGTAAAGAATGAAGCTTAAAATCATAGCAAAAATTGTTTCAAGAACCGTGTGGATCTTTTTTGTAGACCCGTCAAGCTGATAATAGTTTTCAATCGAAATTGATTTTGATCTCATATTCGCACTGCTATTTTAAACTCGTCCTTCTTCTTCTTCTTCTTCGATGACCTTACAGATCAATTGTAATCCATTGCCTCTCTCAGATGCCGCCTAAAACTGGCTCTATCGCTGGCTAACGCTTGCCAATTTCCTATACCACATACAATATGGTCTTTATCAACAGCCTCTTTCCATGAGTTCTTTGGCCTTCCACGTGCCATGAATGATATTCCTCAAAATTCAGTGTCAACTCCTTTCCTAACCAATCTTATATATGCAATCATTTATTGCTCGAATGTCCACCTTACTTACTTACTTACTCTTTGCTCTTCCTCTAGATCTCTTGCCATCCACAAAGTCTGCAACAGTCACTCTTAGTACTGGGGCATCTTGTGGACGTCTAAAGACATGTCCAGCCCATCTCAAACGATTTGCACGGAGAACCGTAAAAATATCAGCATCCTGGAACAACTGATATAATTCGTCATATGTCCACCTTAAAAAAATTAAAATTAACACAGCACAAACCATTTTCTGCATCACCTATATTGTCTGATGTCCGTAATGAAGAGAGAAATCGCATGAAAAATGGAAAAACAACGAGAATAGTGTGAAAACGATGTTGTGATAATTAAATTATGCATAAAAAACTGGCGCATTGTGCAATGAGATTTTTTTAAAACAACAGCACTTCCCTTTTTACCTTTCAGCATATAAAAAAATAAATTAAATTTTATGCATAGCAAAAAAAAGTGTGTATAATTTTTAGCGCGGGAAGAAGGGATGAAAAAGCAAAAAGCTAATCAAGTTGTCAGTTTTGCTAGCTCGTGAAACTTGTTTTTTTTTTGTTACTAAAACCATCGGAAAAGTTTTTCTCTTTCATTTAAAATTGTATAAATTTAATTTTCAACCTTTTTTTTTTTGTTTGAAAAGTTTTTTAACTTAAAATAGTTCAAATATTTAAATTTTTGTTGCCTTTGTGTCTGGATTGTACAGGTTTTTCTTGTGTCTAGAAAAGTTTTGAAATTAAAATTGAAAAAGGAATGAAGGTTTTTTGGGGTCGTGAACTCTTTTTGATGGCTGAATTCAAACTTATTGGCTTTCTATCAACTTTAGATAGAGCATCGCTTAGCATTCGAGTTCGTGGGCATGAGATGTTATCTTGTGGCTAGGATGGGTAGTCTTCAGGGGACAGTATCTAGGGTTTATTCTAGTATGTCCTTCGGTTTTCAGAAAAAAAACAACCAAAGAAGGTCTAAGTTTCATGCGGCCTATATGGATATGAGCTTGTTCAACTGCGCGCTTTTGAGTGGGGCAGTTCCGCTTTTTTTCAAAAAAGGTTCCACTTAAAATCCTTAATGTGACGCATTTTTGAAACTTGTTTCGAAAAGGTAGCTTAATAATACATTTTGATGTGTCGGGTCAAAAAAAACTTTTTAACAAGACATCGTAGAGAGTCCTAGTTTGAATTATTAGCTTAAGTCCATTGTTTTATTTCGGACAATCGCGTTTAAAAAACTTGAAACAGTGTTTTTGTACTATAATTAATGACTTTTTTATTTCAAATAAAAAAAACATGTGATGAGTGCGTTTAGAAATTCAAGTTTTTGTCCTACCGTTGTAAAACTTATTCAGGGTTCGTTCAGAAATTCGAATTTATTTCTTCCGTTAAAAATTTGAAAATGTTTCGGTTTTTGATCAAAAATCGGTAAAAACCGAACTTATGATCCAAAAATACTATCATTGAAAGAGTTGGTGGAACTTCAGGTCTAATCCCATAGAATGAATTGTTCTAGTAGTGATCCAGTGTACTACTACAATCTCTTTTTGTCATCCGATTGCCTCAAAAAAAATGAACATCAAACTTAGTCATTAGACTTTATTTAAGAAATAAAACCAACAAAAAACTTTAATTTTTAAATACAATTCTTCTTAAAAAACTACAAAAATAAATAAAATTGAATTTCTTCCTTCCCGACATGTCTGTTGTGGCTAAGCATAACATTCAAACTTTATGCTACAATATTTATTTCAGTATTGTACGAAAGTTGAAAGCTCAAAGAAATTGTTTATAGAATAAATAGGAAAAGAGTAAAGACAAGAGCAGAGAGCATTCGGAAACAAGTCCTAGAATAACATTAAATAAGATGAGGTTTCTTCCTTTTGTTTCTCTGATATGAACAAAAAAAGGAACTAGATATAAAATAAAAATTCTCACACCGGATGCTAAAGGGTAATTAAGAAAACTTTTTATTCTTCTTGATGCTAGAAGAAGCAAAAATCATTTTTCTAATGGCTATGAAGGCTATTAAAATATTTTTCAAACCAATTTTATGCAATTTTATTCAGAAAAATGAAGAAGAAAATTCAAATAACCATAAAAACCCTCTCAACATAAACAAGAAAAGTGTTTAACAAGTTTCTCAATTTTAATTCAAGAAAATTCAGGAAGAAAAAATAATTTCTTTAAATTTCAAAATAATATAAACGAAGGAAAGAAAAAAAGTTCTGCATTTGATTTTCATAAATTTTTCCGGTTGTGCTTATAAAGAATGGAGTTATTTAAAAAGAGTAAGGAAAGTTTTGAAACAATATGGATGCATAAAGCGCATTTTTTGGTAAGATTTTAATAAATTTACATAGTTCTTTGGGTTGGTGTCTTATGACGTCCAAAATTAACGGTCATTTTTTAAAAACGACAATGGATTTCCAGAAATTTTTATTAATCTTTTCTTGCTGCCCCCCCCCCCCCGACCTTCCATTTCCCTCCCCTTGGACTTCATAAGTGAGCCGTTCACTAGCTTTTGTCAAATAATAAGAAACATAAACAACATTGTAGCACTTTGATGGACAGTCTTGAGCAGTGATGGTCAACCCATGTGCCGCGACACAATATAGTCGGGAAATCCCACTAACCGTATGCGGTTTCGGTGATGGTTCACCATCAAGGTGTGCCGTGGCACAAAAAAGGTTGGCTAGCACTGATCTTGAGGTTTCTCATCATTTGGTTAAGTCGTAATCAGAGGAATCAGGAGTCTTCTTCTTTCTGCAGTTCGACTCTGATCTTATGTTGACTCTTGAGACTACTAGTCCTACCTCTTACCACAAAGCTATCTAGAGCCTAGCAGAATACCAAGATAATCTATTAATCCGCTGTATGCATTGTCTTTGGACCTTTGAGCTTCATTAAAGCCGCAACATTTCCTTTAAACTTTCCATTCACTCAACCAACCCATCAACAGACACACAACCAAAATAACAACTCTAAATTCCTGTTCTAAAACTTTCATTCAAATAAGAAAATGTAAATGAATGAAAGAACAAGAAAAAGGGTCAAGTGATGGACTGAAATAAATTTTATTCGTTGAGTACATTCAAAAAAAGAAAGCAGAAAGTAATCCTAACAATAATTTTCGACTATTCTGACATCTAAATAATTTAGTAGAACTTCAGACACATTTTATGTTTGACATTTTGTTCCTATTTTTACAGCTTTGATTTTCTATGCCAAAAATGCTATAAACTTTGGTTTAAGATGTAATGTGTGTGGTGAATGGAATTGACAGAAGGAAATTGAAATTTTTATGGAAAATAAAATTCAAAATAGCTTCAATAATGGGTCATAAGTGATCGGAAATTAGTTGAGTAAAATTTATATGTTTATTTTTGCAATTTTTCTTACTTTTGTGCAAGAGTTTTGTACTTTTATTGGTCATAAGAAGGATTTGGGTCATTTAGCGCAAGAAGGAGTTGTAACTGTTGAAGTTGACAAATAAGCTAGCTTAGAATGATCCTAGTAAACCCATATCTCGAATAGCACAATTCGGTTAATCGAATGGAAATCTGACCCCAAGCTGGAATGACTCTGGCATGGTGCTGGCTTCGATTTAAATTCCAACACCACGCCAGGGCCAAGGGTGTGGAACTGAAGAATTACATTTTGATCATTTTTGATCCTTTTTGATATTTTTTGATCATTTCATCAGTACCACATCCTTGGCCAGAGCCGTTAAACTTGGTACCGGATTTCTGATCGATTAACAGACTTGTGTCATTCGGGTATTAATGCATTTCCTACATCACTGTTTTCCTTGCAACTTTAACATAATGCTTAACTAAAGTAACAGCAGAATCAACAGTTATTGTTGTCCTCATTCGTTCCTCAGAGAATTCTCTAACTGTGACTATATGCCTCCGTCCTTTTTGATCATGAATTATTCTATTTCCAACAATCTTCAGTGAGCTTCGACAGATTCCATTATGCAATGTTAATTCACGATAATTTTGTCTTGCTCTGTAGGAGTTTTGATACCTGTTACAGCCTTTTTGTTCCATTAAGTTATAGTCAAATCCACAACATGAAGGTTTGAGCATTATGAATTGATGTTTGTTGTAAATTCCTCCTAGTTTACCGATGCCAATGCCTAGCTTTGAATTGAATTTATTAATCATTTTCATAAGCTTAATGCTTGATTGGTTATTTACCCATATAATCACAATATCTATCACCTCCTTCAATACTGTCTAGCTTATAGACAATTCCGAAAAAATCGTCAATTTCCATAATATTATTTGGAGTAGTTTAAGCGACCGTTCAGTTACAAATGAGTGACAAACATCAATATTGAGCTATTATTGCTCTAAATTGCCATTGATATCGTCATATGACTTAGATAAGGAATGAAATGATAAGAATTCGGTTAATAATTGTCGAAAATAAAGCTAAGTTTTATTTTTGGACTAGAAAACGCGAAGCTGAACATTTCTTTAGATTTAAAAATTCTTTCAACATTTTACAATATTCTTACAGTTTTAGAAATTCTTTTGAACTTGAATAAACGCTTCCAATGCTTATCAATTGCTACTCGATTCCTTAAAAAAGCTCCCTTGCAGTCAAAATCCCGATCGGCACACATTGAAATTCATTGAAATGTTTTTTACCCAGCGATCGGGTTGATAGTATAATTAGAACCAAGCGACAGTCAATCAATGTGTGACAATAGAAAATATGCTTGCGTCCAAGGGTGTGGTACTGATGAAATGATCAAAAATGATCGAAAATGATCAAAAAATGATCAAAAAAGATCAAAAAAATTATCAAAAATAATCAAAATGTAATTCTTCAATTCCACACCCTTGGTTTTACCTCTCTTTAACTTCTGCTAGCTTTGTAGGACTAGTTTGTAAATCCTATGCACCAGGTTTAAATTCCTACCCTGGTCTAATTTCTGACTACGCTCTTAGTTTAACCTCGTCATGTTGTTAGATTATTTTTATCGATCAGATAAGAATCCGATAAATTTCTTTAAGATTTGTTATTTACAAAATTAACTCAAAAGTCATTAAAAAATGACAAACTTTAAAACTTTGATTAATTCATTTTTAGATTAAATAAATATTTTTATTTCTTTAATTTAAACGAACATTAAAATTTGGTTCGATCCTTATATAATTTTTAATCAGAACAACAGACTTATCAACTGTAATTGTTATCTTTAATCTATCATAAAAGAATTCCCTCACTGTCTCAATTTGCCTTCGTCCATTTTGTATGTGAATTATTTTATTTCCAGTAATTTGTAAAGAGCTTCTACACCATCCATTACTCAGTGATAATTCTCTGTAATTTGGCCTTGCTTTGTATGAATTTTGATATCTCATCAATCCAACTTGCTCAATTAAATGATAATCAGCTCCACAACAAGATTCTCGAATGTAGACATACTGTTCACTGTCAAGAATTCGGTCTCGTTTATTTGGGCCATATTCTAGCTTTTGAAAAGCTTATTTAAAATCATATCTTAATTAATAAGAATGTGAAGGATTTACCCATATGACGACAATATCTGTCGATTCCTTCAACACAGTGCAATTGATATAAATTGCCAAAGAAATCGTCTAAGTCCATTCTTGGCGGTGGTTTTAAAGAGCAACTGAATGGAAAAGTTGATTTTTTTATTTTGTTGAAATTGATTTTTATCGAATTTGTTGATAAGATTTGTAGTTAAGACTCGACAGTGGCGTATGCTGATAATGTTGATAAGGTTTTTTTGGGAGGAACGGCTATAAAAATCTTATGTGAGTTGAATACACTTGCTTTGGACCTTAGGATAAACACCAGACAGGCGTGTAGCCAGGGGGTGGTAGGTTTTGGGTGACAAGAGAAATTTCTTATTATTATATTATTATTATTATTTATTTGTCGACATTAGCGTCCGGAAGAATTAGTATTTATACATGTTTACCTTTTACATAGATTAGTGATATATTTCTTATCACTATAGATGACGTAGAATCAAGCTTCTAATCTTCAAATCTAGGTTTCAAATAAACTAAGGCTCTCGTTTCAATCTTCTGTGGGCGTGACGTGATACATTTCAGGTCCGTTCTGACAATATTCCATTATAAGGTAATCTTGTAGCTCTCGTTCCTATTTCTCCCGCTACACTTCAAGTTCCTGATCCGTTCCTTAATCCAACGTTGCCCAAAATGCCCAATTATGGCTTGATCTCGTACATTAAGCAGTCGAAGTATCTAAACTTCTGAAAAAGAACAATTTTGGAAATGGCTGGATTCGAACCGACGACCTTCGAGTTACCATACCAAATTTGAGCCAAGCGCCTTACCTATTCGACCAGCAAGGCACTTAACTGCTTCTGATTTGATGATTGTCATGAAGCCATTATATTAGTTTAGTTCAGGGGTGTAGCCAGGAATTTGAAGAGGGGGAGCAAATTTTTTTTGGGAATGGAAAACTTTTAGGGGGGAGGGGTATTTTTTCTAGTTTTTCAAAAAAACCCTAGCAAAATGAAGACATTTCTCAAGACGAAGGGGGATTTGGGGGACAAAAGGGATTTGTCCCCCAAATCCCCCCCTGGCTACCTGGTTTAGTTTGATATAGTTTTTAAGCAAAAATCTTAACACTCATACAAATATTCTTATACCTACCCCCCTCTTCAAATCTTGTCTACTCTTCTAACACTAGAAATGGCTTGGTTTTTTATTAGGTTGTTACTAAGGCACACCTAAGTCCAGCCTCAGCTCTCTCAAAATTAAAAAATTAAAATCTGACTATGTCTTTAGGGCTGTTCATAAATGACGTTCATCAAAAAAATGAGATTTTTAGACCCCATCGTTGATACTACTTATAAAAATTGTTTAAAAAAATCATCACTAAACTCCAGTCCAAACAAACAACTTAACACATAAACTTTTTGACAATATTTTTTTTTTATTTATCCACTCGCACATAATACTTGATTAACATCACAGATTTGTCAACAGTAATAATAGCCTTCATTCCATCTTCGAAGAATTCTCTCACAGTCACTATCTGCTTACGCCCATTCTGTGTATGAATAATTTTGTTACCCAACATCTGCAACGAGCTTTGACAAAATCCGTTGTTCCATGAAAATTCTCGAAAACTTGTGTTAGGCTTAACAGGCAGCTTAATTCTTAAAAGTCCAGTTCTCTTATATAAATTGAATCCATATCCACAGCATGTGTGCTTTAGGTACACGTATTGGTTTTTCTTGAGAAGTTTTGCTTGCTTTCTTGAGTTGAAACCTAGTTTTAGGACATTTATTAATATTGTGATTATTTATAGGAAGCACATGATATAAGTGGTGCCAACAACATTTCATTACACGATTCATGGGAACACGACATAGCTGATGATGAAGTAATAATTACCCATATATTCACAGTAGCTTTCTACATCCTCAACATTATCCAGACGATAGTAAACATTAACAAAATCCTCCAACTCCATAGCTCAAAAACAATTAAAATATAAATTAAAAATATTTTATAGAAAGTGTATTTGTCATTAAAAGATTAAGCTTATCTTATGATAAAGAATTTATACTTATAATAAATTATGCTTACAACACAATTGTAAAATGCTTAAGTATTAATGCCAAGATGTAATCGAAAATTTATCAACATTTGTATCACTTGATTCATCTTGTTTTTAAGAAAACAAAACAAATAAGAGGCTATGCACGTGCTTTAATATGATTTTGTTATTTTGAAATTGAATTCAGAGGTTGAAGTTGATATGAATTGACCCACAACTAGACAAAAATTTGCTTAAATAGACTCGAATCAAACTAAATTGAAGATGATAGGGGCGCAGGTAGGAATATAAAAGGAGGGGACAAAAAAAATATTTTTTTGAAAAAGTTTGAGGGTTGGAGGATTTTTGTGAATTTTTCTAATGACGATGTGGCCTTTCCTCCCCCCCCCCCCCCCTCCTCTCCCTTGCTATGCACCAGAAAGCTAATATTCATTATAGTCGAGTCATGGGGATATTGTTTCTCAATTCTGCACAGTTGCATGATCCAGAGTAAGTCAGTACAATGAACTTAGATTCAATCAATGTCCCGCAAATCACTTAAACCGAGTTAATATAGCTAGAACTGTGACAAGGAACCAAAACTCGATTTTTAAGGTCAACCAGAGACAAACTTTGGCAGGAATTAAGTTCAATGTAATTAAAATAATAAGAGACTAGGATAAACTGCCACAGAAAGCACTAGTAACCAGGCCCTATGAGAACCTGTAAGATGGGAACTGAGACTGTTGAATTAGGCACATATTAAAAGTTACGCCATTGCTGTTTTTAATTATCAAAGCACCTCAAGCGGTAGACTAAGACTCAGTAGTGTAGGTACAGCACGTGATACATCTCAACATGATGAGAAACAATTGTTTCCCGTGATGCCAAATAAACTCATTTTCCAGACTCTTCTTTGTATGTCATTCCTCAAAAGCATTTCCGTCGTTTACAACATTGACGTAGTTCTTTTATCTGCTGATTTTGAGCTGTTTATGTTTAAAAGAAAGGAAGTAAATTAATTCAGGAAATTAATTCAAAAAAAAAATTCTCAATTAATAACAAGCAATGCATTCAAATCCAGACAAGATCCATGCAGTGACTACAAACTTTTTTCTTAATTCTTTCATGTTGTGCTCCTTAATTTATATCTTCTCATAACTGAAACAAAAGAGTAATCATAAACAGCAGACAATGATGAATTTTTAAGAATAAAATGACGCAAATTGCCACATGTGGTAAATGAGGATACTCAATTTTTTGCTATAGAAATTTAACTCAATAAAAGGAAAAAAATTGTCTTCATTTATGACATAAAATATTGCTAGCCCCCTTTTTTTTATTCACATCCATAGAAAGCACTTTCATATAAAATATGTCAAAAGTCATAAATTTAAGCAATCTAGGCATATTATGACATTTTTTAATGTCACTTTAATATTACTCAGAAGAAAGGTTCAAAGAAGAAAAGGTTCTTCAAGATGGATTCTTTGAAAATAGTAAAGCTTCCCTTCAATGCATGATGATTCTTCCTCGTGGCTAGTGATATCTATATAAAATTCTTAAATAAGCAGCAATAATAGTTCAAAAATGCTATAATCTTTAAATAATTCACCAAAACTCAATTGATTAACCAATTAGATTTTAAATAGTAAAAGTTTCAAATCCTATAGCATGAGGAAATTTATAAATCATTACAAATCATCGCTAAACATTTTTTAGCCCCTTGAAGCTATGCAATACTATCAAATCAACTTTATTTTCACCACATCCTCTTTCAAAAATTAAAAATCCGGTAATTTTTTTTGTATAAATTTTGAAACTTCTTAAATTTTATTGTAAAACTCTTTTTAAATTCTAGCTATAAAATACAAATAATTCATTACACAACATCCTTATCGCTTCCCATTATGCTAGACGAGTTGTGTTCAATATCTCTCAATGTTTGCGAGAGTCGCTTTGTTCGTGGTGGACGGATTGGCAATGGTGGAAGCATATCAGTCGATATAATTGAACTTGCTGATGATCCGTCCAATGGAACTTTTTGATTTTGTGAATTTTGTCCTCGTCGCAAAATTTGCTTCAAAAAATCGCCGTGATAGTAGTAAATATAGATTGCAGCAATTGCAAGTAAGACGAGAAAAAACGTGAACATTGCGATAAATGCTCCGTAGAAATTTGAAACTGGATTTGGTTTGTTGGCTTCTTCATTTGTCTCAACTTGAGTATTATGATCATCATGGTCATGATCAATCTCATTCTCAGTATCATCTGGTCTATTAATTGGCCATTTGTCAGTCGTTGGTTTAACTGGAACCTTAACTGGTGGTTTAATTGTTGGAATTGCTGATACAGCTCCTTTGCCGATGGCCACATCAGAACATGCTCGAAATTCTTCTTGTGGACCACATCCAACAGCTCCTTGCCCGTCTTTACAGATGCCCCAGTTGTTGCCAGCAATGTACTTCCATTGGAGGACACAGTTTTGACATTCTAGTTCTGAAAGGAGTAAAAAAGAACAAGTTAAAAAAATTTCAAGTGGCTAAGGCGCATTTTTTGAATGAAAATCAGCAATATAAGAGCAAATAAAGCTGACTGCACTAAGAAAATGGTACAAGGGTGTAGCCTGTAGGTTCATTGACCTCCTTTCTCCTAGCTACATCCCTAAAAGTCACCATAAAATTAAATAAACAACCTTCTTACCTTTAGGAAGCTGAGCTCTAATCTCATAAATTCTCGATCCATTTCTCGGATAGAATCGTGTTGACAGATCATTTGGAAAGCTTATAAACGGACTTCCGCTGATAATTTTTAATAAATTTTTATCCAAGCACTTTTGTCGTGCATTAATGTCGTCACATAATCTAAATTCAAAATAACCCATATGACTGGCGGTTAATTCAACACGAATTGTTATCGATGAACCGGGATTGTATTTCCTAACTGTCACACCTTGTCCATATTTACCGCCATACTCATGCGGTCTAGGAATTGGTAAGTCGTAAGCATCACCACACTCGCCACATTTTCCGCCTGTTGTTTTGTGGAAATGAGAAAATTATGAAATAAGACTTAAGGGGATGTTCGACAAATCGTCAATGACTTCTGATAATACATAATTCATAAATTCATACCATTTCCTTGGTGCTGTTTCGTGTAACCGCCACAAAATAACTCATGATCATTGTAATTTGCCGGTGTGCTGAATCCATAACGCCAAGCGGATGCACGTGATGGAGGCTCTGATGTAATCACATGAAAAATTATTAAATGACTTTGTTAATCTAAAGCAGTTTAAAGTGAAATTTATTTTTTTTTTGTTACCGATTAATCGTCCATGCCCTTCAATTTTTGGTATCTCTAAGACAATGAGTATAATGAGGAGGGTCGTGGTGCGCATTATATTTATCACAGTTGTACGCCTTGACAAATTCATCGTGAGTCTAAAATGAGAAAAAAAAAAAGATTTTTTTTTTTATTAATAACCTTTCCGCATTTCTCTTTTACACTTAATTCTATGCGTCGGTGTATTTTGTTGACTATATTTTTTTTTTGTACTTTAAAGCATTATTCATTAATAATAACCGCAGGAAAAATGGAGAGATTATTGTTTAAAAGGTGCTGAGAAAGCTGAGAGTCCATTTATTATAATGACTGTGTACATGATATATGATGGATATTGAATGTATGCTAATAAAAATGGAAAAACTTTCAGCGATTGGTATCGGATTGATGGGAAAGAAATTTAGAGCAATTGTGTGTAGTTTAATATTTTCTAGTCTATTAATCTTCAATTGATGTATGATTAAGAATCGAAATTGATTTGATTTGCCTTTATGATGTTTAATATGCTGAATTAAAGTGGGTTTAGTAATTTGCAGCAAACTTATCTTTTTTGGTAGAGTTATAAGCACCATATTTTGTGAGTAGGGTAGTCTAAATAGGAGCATAGCTAGTTAATTTTGTCTTTGAAATATCAACAGCATTTTAATTTATTTCTAGGTAGGTTCTGGGAATTAACTAAGGTCTGCACGCTAGCTCCTAAAGCTTGTGGATAACAAATAATAAAAATAATAATAACAAAATTCTGAAAAATTTGAGTTCGCGGACGTCCGTTTCTAAGGCTACTCAGGGTCTCTAGTTATATATAATAATGTATGAAGGGCCCAGCCTTTCAGCTGCAGGCCTGCGAATCAAGGATCCCTAGTTAAGTAACGACAAACTTTGTGTATGCCTCAGAGTATAGTGCATCGATTTTAAATTATTTAAGGTTATGAACTCGAGATAGACTGAGAAACTGAACTTATATACTCAGACAGGCGCGAAGCGGAAGGGTATTGTCCCCCTTAAGCGTTTTAGACCGTTTTAAGCAGTTCAAAACGGTAAAGGAGTGGGGGGGGGGGCAAGACCCTCCTGGCCACGCGCCTGTACTCAAGAATACAAAAGTCGGCATAATGAGGAATTATATGAGCTGTACCACGAGGCTGATATAGTGTAGATGCTGCGAATAAATTGATTGAGATGGGCTGGTCAAATAAACAGACGCCCAGAAAAACTCATCAGTGCTGAAAGTAACAACAGCTGAATTTTTGGATGGTGAGATATCTCGAGGTAGAGCTAAGAACTCATGGAATGGCTGTGTAAGCAAAGATGCAAATGTGCGAGAAATTAGAAACTCGCAGAAGACAACTTCTTAAGGATAGAGCCAGTTTTAGATGAACTCTGAATTTGGCATTGGGTCTCCGTGCGCCTTAGCCAAGGTTGTAAGTCAGTAAGTAATTATAAAGAAATTCAAGAAAATCTTAGCACCTTGACGTGAAACTTCGAAACCAACATGAAATAAACCCAAGTCTATTCGTGAACTGAAGTAGCACAGATCAAATATTTTAGAAAAATTATATCTTAACCAGGTACTTCTGAGTCAGACAACCCTATCAATCAAGATATATCAAATTAATTCATTCTCTATCCAAATTGAACACCAGAAATACAATTTATTTAGACCCAGACGTACAATAAAATATTTTGTTGATCAAAAAAGGTCAAATTCAACAACAAATCATCAAAACAAATTTTTCTTATTGAAACAATATTGATGCCAAATTTCTAAGAGAAGCCGCAGACACGATATTTTTTGGTCATGATGGAAGAAAGTTTAGAAAATATGTTTGCTATTTTTGGTGTTGTCTCATTTCTACCAAGTTTGTCTGGATTTACAAAAATATTTTGAAACTTTTCTATACTTGAGAATTTTTTTGTAAATTTTTTTGTGGTCTTAAATTGAAAATGTCTTCAGAGGTTACAATAAGAGCCGCAAATGAATTTAACTTTAGAAAAATATTTATTTTGAGTCTTTTTCAGTTATTTTTTGGATCAATTCAACAATTCATCAAGTTAACTTGATTAGAGACGACTGCTGATGAAGATCCTGACCGTCACAATAATTGCATCCTATTACATCAAATGTCAACAAAAGAGCCCCATTTAATAATTAATTCCACACCTTAAGTTCCAAAATTACACACCAATTCATCTAAATTCAATTACAATTATTCAATACCCGAAAAAAAAGACTTCAAGGAAGTTCCAGTTGATTCAACAAATTACATGTCAAGACTACCAAACTGTTCATATTCTCAATTCTCTCTCGAACTAGCACGACTTAAAATCTATTGTCGAATTTTATTTTTTGCTGCAGCACTTCAAGGTCAAGCAAATGCTTGAAATTTAATATTTAACAGACTTAAACATGGATCTGAGTTCTGTTTCACACAGATCAAACAGCAAAAAGGAAAAGTTAAATCCATATCATGTTCATACAGACAAATTGAAAGTTAAAAACGAGTCTGCTAAGCATATAAAAAATTTACAAGATAAATACCGAGCGTCATTTAACCTCATTTCTCAAGAAAATCTTAGTTTCTTCTCTTCGATTTCTTCTTTTTTTATTGAATTAGAAATTCATATGGAAATTTGCACTCAAGTCAATGATTTGGACGGTGTGAACTAAAAGCATAGATAATGGCGTAATGAAGAATGAGGAGAAGTATGGATGTTAATTTGAATTGTTCCTAATGCACAATAATCGTGTCTATTACAATGAGGTCTGCTGTGTTGCTCCCTTGTGGGGACTTAGAAGCAATTCCATTGAGATTCTCGGAACTAGTTAAAGTCAATTTTTGTTCATACTTCAAAGTGTTGTGCATCCATTTTTGGCTCTACTGTGGCCTTATTAGACTCAGAAATTGGCCCTAGGCTTCTCATCTATACCAGCCAAGCCTTTAGAGTTAAAAGCATCGAAACGAGAAGCGTGATTTCAATTCAAGTGGCAGGACAGTCGCGCCAAAAAGTGCGTCGATTGACAACCTAGTTCGGGGAAGATTCACCCTACATCAGTGGTGGCAGGGGCGTAGCCAGAAAATTTTTAAGGGGGGGGGCCCATTTTCGAAAATTAAAAAACCCGTTATTTTGTTTCCTTAAATCTATATTCATTCTTCATAAGTTTAAGTATTTAATTCATTATTCATACATTAAATTTAATTTTTCGTGCTGATTTTGACATTTCTTTCATCACTTCCTCTACATTAACTGGTTCTTCTCTATAAATACTTAATAAAACAATTATCAGATTTTCGTAGGGGGGGCCCGGGCCTCCTATGGCCCCCCCTGGCTACGCCCCTGAGTGGTGGGCAACCTGTTTTTTGTCACGGCACACCTTGGTGGTAAGTCATGACCTTAACTACACACGTCAAACTGAGATTTCTGGATAGTTTTTGCGACTTTGACGTGTGTCACATGCTGTGTACGACTTTGATAATGGCTTACCCCTAAAATGTGCCTTGACCCAAAAAAGTTGGGACAACACTGCCCTAGAGTAAACTAAGAAATCTCTTCCATATTCCCTATCTGTGATGAATTTGAATAATTTCACCATCCGGGACAAAAACAAATAAAAACTTATTTTTTGAGAAAAATCAAAAAAGCAGCAAGAATGAACACATTAAAAAATCACAATGAACCACAGTTGAACATTTCAAGGTTCAAATGCTAGCGACAGAATAAAGTATTTTAAAGAGAGAGCGAGAGAGAAAAAAACAATATTTTATGTGTGAATGCAAATCTTTGGTTAAGCACATAAAAAATTGCATGAATCATTGTTGAGCTTGTCTATTCATGTGTTTTTCTACTTAGACCATGCCTTAAAAATGAGTAAACAATTCTTTTCTGATGTAAAAGAATGGAATTTTGTTAAAACATTAAAGAACAATGAAAAAAGTGTGAAGGGTCAATCATAAATTGGGGGCAATAATTTATTTTCAATAATTCAATCCACCCCCGCCCCCCAAGGGTGTGGTAATGATAAAATGATCAAAAATGATCACAATTGATCAAAAAAATGATCAAAAATGATCGAAAAAATGAATAAAAATGATCAAAAACGATCAAAATCGATCAAAATGTAATTCTTCAGTTCCTCACTTTTGCCCTCCCCCTCCATCTTTAAAGCATAGAACTGATCAAAATCGATCAAGTCGTGATCACTAGATCCACATTTTCAGGTCCCCCTCCCCCTTCTAAATATTAAACATCATAGTTGTATACCCCTAATGAGCTAATCAGCATAACCAGCAATTTAAATGTTAATTCAATGATTATTCGTTCGACATGATTGTTAGATCCAGCATAAAAGTTTAATTATATAATTCAAATCATTTCCGATGACTCAAAATAATGACAATTTCATCCATCAATTTCATGCTTGATTTTCAATCAATAATTTCCTCTTGAACAATTTTTTTTATCACGACGATCATCTTCGTCGATTGTTGTTCTCAATGGTTATTTGGGGCCATCAACACTTTCACTTATTGAAAAATAATATTTCAATATTTTCTACAGATATACTGAGTATAAGCCGAATAGCACAAGTCGGTTAATCGAATAAAAATCAGGCACCAAGCTGGAGTGACTCTAGCATTGTGCTGGATTTGATTTGAGACTCAATTGGATTTCTATTCGATTAACCGAATTGTTCTATTCTGGTAGTGTTAGTAGATATTGAAGAAATGAAGACAACAACCGATAAATTAGTCATTAAATGGGTACAAACATATTAATTTATGCAACTAGCTTGTTTAAAGTTTTTCATCTTTTTTTTTGTCTGAATGAGTCATCAAATATATTAATGAGTCGTCTGGATATCCTTTCTGATTAATATGCTGTTGCACGAGACTTTTTGGTGCTATTGGGTGATTAATATGAATTGTGACTCAATATGTAGCTTGCAGCTCTGATGCCAGGGTTGATTTAGCCCCCCTTCCCAGAATTGTTTTCAAATGTCATTTTATTGCGTAGCATAAAATATGAAAAATTCTTCGAACTTGTTTTTCTTCAGATTCTCTAGAATTTTTCCATTCATAAATTCTCAATGAGGCAGGCATAA